AAACCGAATTAAGTCATGATCACAATATGATCATACTGCGCGCATGTGTTTAGCCCCTACAGGTAGCAGTTGTCCAACCATCGTGGAAGTGGACTGGAAGCCGTTTCTCGGTTGCTTTCTGCTCCCCTGCTAAAAGTGTGACTTTTTGTGGTTTAATGGAAAACCCATTAGTTGGCAAAAAGTGAAAGTCCTACCATCCAAGCAAAATGCAACAACGGCTTGAAGATGATTGCCTCAACCCCTCACATCACCCTGTGAAGTTGCTGGATCCGCACCTCTCCATCCTGTCGCCCAGCTAGCTTCGCAGTTTCCAAGGAGCCTGACACGCAAAGAGCGGGCTGTGTGTCAACACCTTGGGGACCCCTGCTGCTGGCTGTTGTCGTGCTAGTTTCCTTTCAATAAGGCCCACAAACTGGACATGTCCTACGACGGGAAAGCAATAATCTTAAACAAAAGTAGGCGCACGCATCGGTATGCAAAGACCTCAAAGGCATCCAGCAAACAGCAAATGTGTGCAGCTCACGCGATCCCCTAGTGCCGAACCTGGTCGCCCTTCTTGGATGGTTTTCAAGGAACCCAAAGCAAGCCCGAATCAGAAAGAGGCCCTGTGTAAGGCATTCATTCAGCCAAGCTAATTACCAGCGGCCATTGAAATGTTCATACCCTCGGCACATCCTCTCCAGGGCAACCTGGACAGCACTAAACCAAATTTGATTTGGCGTGTAGAGATGCAACAAAGACTTTTGCCACATTTGATCATCGCGGTACCGGGCGCACTGCCAGTGTAGCTAACACCTCCGCAACAGCACCGCAGAGTTGTGCTGCTTCAGAGATCCAAACCAACTTGCGCTACGCGCCTCCAACATATATCAAACCCAGTGGCCGTTGCAATGCCACATGCACAACAACCTTTGAAAGCAGGGCACTGAGACATGCATCATCACGCAAGCCAGAGTCAAGCAAAACTTGATGCATGGTTCACACGGGCCATCAACCCTGCGGCACGCACGCCATCCATAGTTGATGCCAATGAGTTGGGCCTTGTTGTTGTGGCAAATATTTTTTCTTGAATGACGTCACAACCTTTTTGTGACAGCTAGAAGTTGGCTCCAGTTGAATAAAGCTACAGGGGCAATGCCGTGGCACATTGAGCCCGTTGCCTAAATGCCCTTCAGAATCGCAGAGTTTCTCTGGTGAAGGCACCAGGTCTTTGGAAGGTGACATTGATGAAGCAAGCGCGAAGATATGCTACAGGCAAGTGATGCATGCACTGCAATGGCACCGCAAACTAGTGATATTATTGCGTGTTTGTGTTGCTGAAAGGGAAACATAACAACACACAATATGCTGGCAGCTTATGTGTGATTGTGGGTGGGCAGATATAATATTGCTTTGCAAAGAAACACAAACTATATTGATAACACATGTGCACGCGTCTTGGTCAAGAGCCCAGAAAGGAGCCAAAAGGTGGCCTGTGTGCCTGTGTTGGGCAAAGGGCTTCATTCTTCTCATGAACCCGCCGAACACAAACAGATCAAACGCAATGCAACATCGTCAAATAAGGCCAGCGAGCTCTGTAGCATTTTTCTCGATTTCAAACGAACACTGTACAGGTTCTCGCAAAGGAAGCTACATGGCCCACAAACGTTTCGAGCATGGCAGGTGTGAGCAGGTTGACACAGCCCTTGATCAAGCCCTGGAAACGGCAAATACCCCTCAAGCTGATGTATGAATCAACCAACCTGTTTATTAATAGGGCGTGGTTTTGTTCCCTCCAAATGTGGTCTGATTCCAACCACTAAAACCAGGGAGAAGCAATCCCCGATTCTGTAAACATGGCGTCAACATTACCGGGTGTCCTTTAACCCTGTGGAGCATTCTGCGGCTTCCCTCGTTCAAACACCAATACCATCAGCAGAAGCTAGGCCGATGGCAATGCCACGTCCTGTGCTGCGGGAAAACACACACCACTTCATTTGTCAAGGGCTGGCCTGTCTGGTCAGCAAGTATGGCCAAACATATTCGGCGCACACACACATATATATATATATATATATATTTGGACATGTGAGACAGAATTGTAAGACATGTGCTCTGCAGACCTTCCCAAGTCTTTCTCAACTTTGGCCTGAAATCAAGTCACTTGGCAACGTCCTTCGCACAAAGCTGAAGCTCAAACAGGTTGCATTTAGCGTGTGAAGCCCAAAACAGGCACACGAACGAAACCATATGAAGCCATACATGCGCATGTAGTAGCAACGGAGGTATTTCATGCTGGGAAGGGGGACTAATATATAAAAAATACATATGTATTTGTATACTTCTAGGCTTGTGGGTGTGGCTCAAAATTAAACAGGAGGGGCAAACCGCAGGTTTTGGTCAATGTTTCCACTTACCAGGGCAAGCCACTTTGGGTAGCGGTTTTATGAGCCACAACCTTGTCGGTTTCTCTACAAAATGAACGGCCCGCTCCGGCTGTCTCCCTCGGATCGCCTGAGGGATCCGTAGGCGAGCCACGCGCGCTCCGCGCGGAGCGCGGTCCGGCCTCGCGGATCCTCAGTAAAACGACGGGGCTCGTCGTGTTTGAGGGTGCCAAACGGCAAAGTACAAACTCGGTGGCTTTCTGGACTTTTCGTGGTTTAAAGGAAAAACCCGCTAGTTGGCAAATTGTTGAAGTCCTAACATCCAAGCAAAATGCACCAGAGCAAAGGAAAAACACCGATGGGCTTCTGTTTTTGGGTGTTGTTTTTCCCGATGAGCTTGTGTATGCGTTGAGTTTGTTTTTCCTGTTTTTGCTGGGCTTGGGTGTTTGTGTGTGTGGGTTGCCCGCTTAGCTGAAAGCGGAAACAAAAAGGACAACCCTGCAGAATCCACATGAGCGGGTTGGGGCGTGCTCAAAAGGCATGTCGGAGGGCGCTTGGAGCAAGAGCGCCATATGCTCACAAAGGGACAAGGGCCTATCCAAAAAATGGCCCACGGCCACGGTCACAGGGGTTTCCCCAAGGGGGACATTAACATAGGAAAGCTTCAATTCTTGCTTGGCTCGACTCACGGCACATGATTGGAAGTCCCAGACAGGTAAAAGGGCAACCTGCTTAAGGTTGATTTCAAACAAGAAACACCCGCCACCAAAAACAAGGCGCAAGAGCGCTGGATGTCTGAGGGGAAGAGAGCTGGAACCCGACATCGCGGGCCTATGTGGAGAACTCCAAGATCTAAAGACGAGAAATATTTAAAAACGCTTCATCTGGATCCAATTCAATACGGGACCCACACCCAATTTGGGTTGGCCCCTTGATTCATAATGCGCTAAGGAACACCGTTCGTTGCCTTTGAACTGCAGAGTAGTGCTCATTGGTACAACAGGATTCTCAGTTGATGATCTTTCTCATCAGAAGTAAAAACAAGGCCAAGGTTGCCCCAACGGATCTGAACATGGAAGGTTAGCCTTTGGAGACCCCGAGTCAACATAGATCACTGGTTCGCGAATTCTCGGACCAAAAGTGGCCTGAGACATCTTGATAGCATGTGGCATAGTCTGGTCCTGTTCGACTTTTGCACATATTTGGCTGTGGTTGACCATGTGTGGCCGTACTGCCCGGACAACTGCGTTGTCCGATCTTTGCACATACATGAACCCCACAAATGAAACTGACCATGTAATTTGCTTCCTGGCGACCAAAAACTGGCAGCTGAACTTGCTTTGCACCGCCACTCCCTGGTGCGAAGGTCCCAAACCTGATTGCTTCAGATCTGTTTGCCGCCTAGGCATCTGATCGCAGGGTTGCCATTCTCCCAGACAACTATGGGGAAACATCACCACTGGAGCTGTGGGTTCTGTCTTGGCTCTTAATGTCTACCCCACGACACCCCATTGAAAAGCCATTGCCCACGAACAGCCAAGGTTGCTAAGATCAGATCAGCCAAAGGCAACGCGCATGATCCTGGCCTCATGATTTTACCAAAGACACCCTAAAGATGAAGGGGAAACCTACCCAGCTGATATCGCGCGGAAACTGTCAACATGATCACACTAGAAGCAACAACCAATTCCAGCTGCTGACATAAGAAAACCCTTCTGAGACAGACTGAACATGACATGAATCCAGCCATGCGCATATCTTCCCAAGCGAAGCCAGCATCGTCAAGACCGGCACATCGGGGCCCGCGCATGGATCCCTGGGGCCGCCGGGGGGTGCAAAGCCTCGGGGTGTCGCGGCGCGCGACACCGTGTCGGGCTCCACCCAAAGACCCACAAACAAAATGGGAAAATCCAAACAAAAGCTTCCATTTGCTTAGCACAAGAATCAACCAACAATGGGCCTGCCTCTGACCACTTCTTGAACCGGCGTTTCGCGAACCCAAAGCTCCGAAACTCTGTCCGAACGGATGAGCCCGCCAGCCTGAAGACTTGCCAACTGCCGCGCCCCCTTTTGGCATCCCATGCGGGCATAAACTCATGGACCGCCTTTGGCATCCACACTGCTCGCGAGCGCTCGCGAGCAGCTAAGGAGATTTGAGAAAAAGGACGGCAGACACCTTGAGCATACCCCAAGGCCAGTGTCACGTAAAATAAAACTTCTGGAGCCGCGATCGCGTTTGGAGCATGGCCCTTGCATTAACATCAGGCAAGCCGCTCCCGGTCAAGATATTTTCAACGTGGAACCAGTAGAAAAAACGTTACTCCGAGGCCAGGGAGCGAACACTTCACCAACCCTCACCCGTTCTACATGTGAACCGTTCGGGAAGTCTGCCGTTTGCCCCCCCTTAAACACAACCAGCACACAACAGAAAACAACGTGCCGGAGGAAAAGAGGCAAAGGCTTCCACTTATCAGGGCTCTTTACATATCCTTACATATCCCCTTTGAACATCACGCCACAATGAAGCTCACTCTTTAGATTGGCCCGCGAAACAACATGTTTGCGCAAGATGGAACACCTCAGAACCACTTCACCATGTTTAAACCCTAAAGAGATTCCCGATCGATCCACCTTTCCTCACGCGCCCAAGACCTTGTCCAGGGCCGCGTCGCACTCCAACAAACTCTGCTGCTGAGGGCTGCAGCCCAAGAAGCGCCTCAGGGCATGTTCCAGGCGCCCTATCTCATAGGCCTAGTCTCCAAAGCACCGGTCCAGCCAACACCAAAGCGGTGCTTTGGTTCAAAGAACGACGGAAGCCAGCCAACTTAGCCGCACAAACGCAAATGATTCCTGCTTGGTTTCCCAAAGGGGTACAGCGCTATGCCGGGTGATTTGCCAAGGACCCAACGACAACAATAAGCGCTTCACATAAGTACATACCCAGTACAATATGAATATATATATATATATGTATTATTGTTATATTATGTACATGCATCCTGATCTGCATGAGGACGACCAATTCTCGTTATTATCCGAATGAGAGCGTGTATTCAAATAATCAACAACGGCAAAAGGACATTGCGGCACATCGCAGACCCCTTGCTGGACACTCGCTTCGAACGCATAAAGAATCGCTAAGACTTGTCGGGGAGTCCAACGATTTCCAGCTGGAACAACAACGGAACGAGAACATTCCTCACATTTCCAGCCCATGGCACCAGCACCACTCATGATGGACACTTGGGCTCTACGTTGCAAGCATCACCACTCCCCCTTTGCCGGGAAACTTCCCCTCCAACCTCCGCTCCCTCCCCACCCTCCCCAACCCCTCCCATCCCTCCCCACACCTCCCCACCCTCACACCCCACCTGACCCCCACGGTCAACTGCTTCGACAAGTCCGCCGCCCGTTTTCGTCTCCCGAAAACCCCAAGGCGCACAGCGCCGGTCTCGTCGAAGATCGCGCCGTGGACCTCGAGCTCGCCCTTCCGAACCCTCTCGCGCACCAGGCGGCCTCAGCTACCAGCCAACTCTGGGAGGCCGGTGGCAAATCAAGCTGGCCGGGTCTTTCCACCCGAAACGTGTTCCTTTCCAGCTGTCCTTCCTGCAAAGCTCGCTCAAGACTCAAACGGATCTGAAAAACACTCGATTTACCTCTGGGGGCTTTGAAAAAACGGGGCGAAAGGCTCGAAGGGCGTTGCTGGACAAGCGAGTAAGCCCCTAAAAAACAAATGGAATGGAATGGCCCCGACCCTGTGTTCCAACCCACACCGCCTGTGTGATCTCCAAATTGTCCTTTGATATATCCACTAAAAACAAAAGCAGATTGGGTGTCGAACAAACTGTTCGCCCAAACAAAACCGCAACACCAGAATGGCCTGGAACCCCTTCGAGGGCATGGAGACAAAGATAGCTGCACCAAAGTGGGTAACGTCGGGGGGCTGCTAGCCAAAAGTGACAGTGAGCGGGAACTTGGAGCTGGAAAAAACGACATACAACATATCGAGCCACGTGTAGTCTCGCGGGTTCCCTTCACAGTTAGTCAGGTTCATGTGTAATCTGGGGGGGGGGGGAAGTGCGCAAACCCAAAAAAGGCACATACACTGGGCGAAGTGGCTAAGTGAGCCCAAAATCAGCGCACTGAAGTCGAGGAATTCGCTTCAAGAGACGGACTCCTTTCTCTTCGCCCTAGGCATCCGCGCTATACTTCAAAAGGAAGTCCATCGACCTGAGCACGTTCAGCTCCTCAGTGTGCGGATGGGGATGTTGCGCTTACAAGATTTACCGCTACACCCGATTGAGTTCATTCACTCTGCTCAATACACACACACACACAGCCGAAGAGTGGCTGAATCAGCTCGCTTGCCCAAAGCAAATCCATCCCTTTGACCTTTTAGTTTCCCCTTTGTCTATCTTTAGACTATTTCCCTTGAAACATCACCCCCTACCGCAGAGATCGACTCGTGACAAGGGCCCTGAAAGATGATGTTGAGACTGACCAAAGTGAATGTGTATGAGTGCGTGCCTTCAGCCCAAAGAACCGTTTTCTTGGGGATTTCACAGGTCCCTACTTTTCTTTTCTATTTGTGCCCAAAATGCGGGTGTTTCCCCAGCCAGCGGAAACGGACACTCCACAAGTTGAACACATGCGTCCCAAAGCGAAAATATATGAGCCTCCAAAAAAGGAAGACATGAACCAAAGTGAACAAAAACAACTAGGAAGCCCGAAAGGGGTTCCGCAAACAATGAAGCTCCGACAACCACATCTGTCACAGGCAAAATTGTGTTGTACCCATGGCAAAAAAAGGAGTCCCCCTTGTGAAAGTCAGCGGGATCACGTTTTTAACGTCAAAAATTCAGCCACCAGGATATGGACCGCAGGTTTTAGTCTTTGGTTCCATTTACCAGGGCAATCCATCTAATTGTGGCTCCTGGGCTCCCCCACAGATCTCAATCCCGGGCGTTGCTGCCCTCCCAGTCACTTGCCACTTGTTGTGAGGGCACCCTTTCGGGGTAAAGGGTACCCCGTTTGGAACAGTAGATGGAACAAAAACCATCAAAACCACTGGAACCCATTAATTTCTATTCAAACCTAAACAAAGGCCACCTATGCTCATAATTGGGGATTGATCAAAAGGTCGCTTACATGGGGTTACCATTGTGGTTAAAACCACCAAAAACTGGTATGTCCCACTAAATGGGAAAAGCTACCCGTGGTCATTTGGGGGGATGTTGATCCACCCCTAACTCTCATTTACGGGGGGTCCTCGCTACATCACCAACTTCCGCCCGGGCTCCGTCGCCAGCTTGAGGACCTCCTCCTCACTGACAGGTCCCAGCCTCTTCTCCGCCTCTCGGCAGACCACGCTCCTCGGATCGTGGCTTGACGTCCAAAAGGTGCTGGATAATGTGTTGTTTGTCTGCTTGGTTGTTTGGTTGCTTGGTTGCTTAGTTGCTTGGTCGCTTGGTCGATTGCTTGGTTGGTTGCTTGGTTGGTTGCTTGGTCGATTGCTTGGTTGGTTGGTTGGTCGGTTGGTTGGCAGGCAGGCAGGCAGGCAGGCAGGCTGGCTAGTTAGTGACCTAGCTTAGTTAGTCAAACACAACTTTCGGCACTGTTAGTTTACTAGAAAAATTAGTTAGATAGTTACTTAAGTAAAAGCTAGCCAGTTGGTTGGTTAGTTTGTCCCTGGTTTAGCTAGCTAGTAAGTTAGCTTTCAATTGCGGAGAGGTAGTCATGAGTGGAGTGGGTGGAGTGAGTGAGTGAGTGAGTGAGTGAGTGAGTGAGTGAGTGGGTGGGTGGGTGGGTGGGTGGGTGGGCGGGCGGGCGGGCGGGCGGGCGGGCGGGTGGGTGGGTGAGTGAGTGAGTGAGTGAGTGAGTGATTGATTGAGTGAGTGACTGAGTGAGTGACTGAGTAAGTGAGTCATTCAGTGAGTGAGGAAGTGAGTCAGTGAGTCAGTGAGTAAGTGAGTCAGTCAGTCAGTGAGTGAGTGAGTGAGTGATTGATTGATTGAGTGAGTGAGTGACTGAGTGAGTGACTGAGTAAGTGAGTCATTCAGTGAGTGAGTGAGTGAGTGAGTGAGTGAGTGAGTGAGTGAGTGAGTGAGTGAGTGAGTGAGTGAGTGAGTGAGTGAGTGAGTGAGTGAGTGAGTGAGTGAGTGAGTGAGTGAGTGAGTGAGTGAGTGAGTGAGTGAGTGAGTGAGTGAGTGAGTGAGTGAGTGAGTGAGTGAGTGAGTGAGTGAGTGAGTGAGTGAGTGAGTGAGTGAGTGAGTGAGTGAGTGAGTAAGTGCGTGCGTGCGTGCGTGAGTGAGTGAGGGAGTGAGTGGGTGGGTGGGTGAGTGGGTGTGGGTGGGTGGGTGGGTGTGGGTGGGTGGGTGGGTGGGTGGGCGGGTGGGTGAGTGAGTCAGTGAGTGAGTGAGTGACTGAGTGAGTGAGTGAGTGAGTGAGGTGAGGTGAGGTGAGGAGGTGAGGTGAGTTAGATAGCACGTTAGTTCGAAGCCAGCTACTTGGTTCGTGAGTGAGTCAGTGAGCCAGTGAGCCAGTGAGTCAGTGAGTCAGTCAGTCAGTCAGTCAGTCAGTCAGAGTTAGACAATGAGTCAGTCCACAGTCAGTCAGAAAACAAGTTAGGCAGTTTTTGTAGCGGTTAGTTGGTTTGTGTGTTTCCTTGTTTGCGGGAATCAAAGTCACTTGATTTGGTAGCTAGTGGCGATCGCAATGTTGCTGTGCCATACGCTTTGTGTGTTGACTCCACAGGCAACACACGCCATGTCAATGTAGTTGTGCTTGCAAGTACCTGGCGATTGCGTCAATGTCAGCAACTGGGGATTGCAAACGTATTGTGTTTGTGTGTGTGTGCATCTTAAACATGTGATTGTGCTGTGCGGGGATCTCCGAACGGATTCTGTTGAGTGAGGATTGAACAAGGCTCACTCTGCTATCTTGGGGATTTCAGAATCGGCTATCTTCCGCTAGTAATTAGGTGGACATTTCAGCAACGCGTGTTTGTTTCTAGCAAGTGGGGGGGGGGTGCAAAACCACATGCTTGCGTGGCTTGTTTGTAATAGGGTTGCAAGCACACGTGGCTTGCAAGTGAATGGGTGCTTCGCCCCAGCGAATGGACATGTCAGCAGTGGTGTTTTTTGGTCGTGGTGTTTGTTGGTAGTGTTTTTTGGTAGTGTTTTTTGGTAGTTGTTTTTGTTACACTGGTTCATGTTCACCCCGACACTCTAGCTGCTTCGCCCATGTTTGCCCCGCTTTATGTCCAACGTCAGGTCTGCAGGCAGCCCGAAGAAAGGCTAAGTCCCTGGGAAATTCGGGAAACTGCCTGGTGAGTGCCAGAAACTGAACAAACAACGTAGTTTGACGCTAACACGGCAATGCAGGACGGGAAACTACAAATTACACTAAGGTGTGCCAAAAAAAACCATGACAGTTGCTTTGTATGCTGGAGCAAACGTAAGGCGTAAGATGTGATATTTCCTAAGGTGACATTTCAACCACATGGCCATGGGTCAAAATCCCATACCCCCAGTGAACATCCCAATCCCAACTAAAATAGAGTAAAATGGGTAGTGCACCTTCCCCAACATGGTACCATTGGTTTTGACCCACAGCCACATGGGACAAGTTGTCCATTGGCGATGGCCGGGGGACTTTTGGAAGATTGATCACCTCCCAAGCTTCGCAAACTGCGAATCGAATTTGTTTGGCCAGCGCACAGCGACGCCAGTAAGGCATCCACCGGGCTCTCGTCGGCCGCGCCTTAAAACACCGGAAGCTGTGGCTCCAAATGGGGTACCCTCACTCCCATGCCATGGCACCTGATTTGGGGTCCCTTCAAGAGAAACTTATCTTCCAGGTCCCCTCGGCAGTTGTTTTGCGTGTTATGTTAGTGATAGGGGGGGTACCTCTGTTGACCTTGATTGAAAATGACACAAGAGAGAAAAACCAGCGGAGAGCGTTGCCGTTTTCGTCCAAAATGAGTTTCGAAGCGATCCGGTGGGTTGGGGAACCCTTGCGGAGTTTGTTGCAGAGTAACCTCCATCTCAAACTCGGATAAGACAAAGAGTTCGAGGATATGGAACACCACAAATCAGTTCCCAAAGTGGCTTTGGCTCCCTTGGTTTCCCTTGTAAACAGCCTCAACAGGAACCTCCCTCAGCCAACGCATATAAACAGTTTCCTGGCTGCAATGTAGAACCGCACATGGGTATTCACGGGGCCCACGTTGATCATATAGATTTTGGAAGCGGTCATGTTGAAACAAACAGTGTTTGCACTGCTAGCTGTTGGAACCCGCCCAGCATGTCGTCCTGGCCTGATCATGCTATGACTTGTGACTTCTGATCCTTGACCAGACTGTCATCAATCAGCACTTCTGAACAACACCTACGAATGCACTGTGTTCGTGGCCTTTAGACTCTTGGCGTGCTGTCAAAGCTGGCTCACCCAAAACGGAACTGGCCTTCGTGCCGAACCTGGGCAGCGCTTTTCAAGGCCCTGCAGTTGCTGTGGCCCAGCACGAGGATCAGTTGGGTGCCCAGTCCGGCGCAGAACTCCAGGCTTCCCAGCCTGAGTCTAAGCGACCCTGAGGCTCAAGTATACATTCATGGGTGTGCTTCTTACCGTCTAAAATGACCTAAGAGGGGGAGGGGGAGTCCATCCATTTCATGGTTTGCGTCGCAGACCCAATATTGGGGACGATTGTGGCATCTTGCAATCTGGTGGTGAGTAGTTGCGATATCCCTGAGTTGAGAGCGTTTGCTCAGAATTCGCCTCGGCCGGGCTTATAAGCTTTGCAACAGTGAAAAAACAAGGAGCAGTAAGGCCAACCCAACCCATGTCACGCAGCCAAAACCTATGCTCCAGCTGCCTCCAGTCCGCCTGATGCTAGGGTGGAAGCAAGTCCGCATCTGGAATCAGTGAAACCGGTCGAATTCCCGTACCGAACCGTAAGAACCGGTCACACCCCCCAAACCGATCTAGAAACCAGTCAAGTCCCCTCAAAAGCCGCCATTCTGCAGCTCTCTGCGGCTCTCGTTCTGGCCCTTGAAGCCCAGTGGAAACGCGTGGACATGCACCCACCCTCTACCTTGGAAGCCAGCTCACGCGTTTCGCCGCCGACTCACTCACTCACTCACTCTAACAAACACAACACAAACTAAAACGCAGTACATACCTCAAAGCCAGCCAAAGGGGGAACACGCGAAGGGTTTACAATAAACCGGATAGCAGCCAACCCGAACTAGGGGGTTCCTTGCAATGAAGCTCGACGCTTTGAGCATAAGTGCACACCTCCTGCAACAATCCAGGGAAGTCTAGCCGCCAATACCAACTATGTTGCAGACCAAAACAAACAACTTGATTGTCTTCTCAAATCATGTCTTGCCGCATGATTCCGCTGACTAAAGTACTTCTGCGTGAGCCGGGCTGATTGAGAATTATGAGGTGGTTAAACCAATGGTTTACTTCCAGAATTGGCTCAAGCATTTCGGCAGCGCAAGTCAACTGCATGTTCCTTCTGCTCTCATGGAAATACCCGAGAGCCTGTAACTTGTCAATAACTTCTTTGCGAGTGGCATGCTGCCTTCTGCACGGGTGCAGGCATTGCCGGCATTCCTCACACAACGGAATGAAGCCCTAAATCAATCACATGGTACCACGTCACCATTGCGCAGCACGGTTGCCTCCCTTCCAGTGAGGGTAAGCATTCGTTTTGTCGTTTCATCTTTCCGGGGGAACTGGGGTTTCAAATGACAGGGGGCCAAACCGTTCATATTGCACGCTGCAGAAAAAGCAACAACACAAGACTTTGCTGTTGTGAGCTAAGTTCGCGAGATCAAGCTTCGGCCTGCTTGCCTGCCTGGGCTACTTCATGCCATACCAGGGTGGGGGCGGGGGCGCTGCTTGGAATATGGGGTATCGCTTGGGTACCATTTTGTGAACCCTAAAGAAAGGAGTGCTTACTTAAGAACGCTGAAGCTCGCCGCAAATGATTGTAGACCCGTGGAAATGAGAATCGATTTGCTCGCTCCATGGTTTCTCTTACGCTTCCCCTTTGGAAGGGGGCTTCTGGTTCTCCAAGTAGCCTATCGTGCTACCTATTGTCAGGCCAAAGTCAAAGACATCAAAACGCCGCTGCCATCTGGATTGGCGTGCTGACCCCGTACATATCATGTTTCAAGTCCGTGCAGCGTTCTGACCAGCCACTGAAACACAAAGCTGCCTAATGCAAACTGTTGTACCATTGCTTGCCCAGAAATGTGCCAAACACCCAGCAAGAAAGAAGCGAGCGGTTTCCAAGATCAATTGCTCCTGTTCTTTGGTGCGGCCATGGGTGGCTATAGCTCCCCCAAACCAGCACATAGCCTGCGCCATACTGGTCAAATTGCCAGGCCATCTGTTCATCAAACATTCATCAAAAAGTCACCCAACCAGTCAGCCAACCAACCACGCAACCAACCGACCGACCAACCGACCAACCGACCGACCGACCAACGAATCAGCCTTCGTCACCCAGACCGCCGCTCGACTCGACTGCGACAAAACAAATCCGTCCTCAGCGTAAAAATGTCCCCGGGCATGGCATCGAACAGGAGCTCGAAGGGCGTGCGGGCGTCCGCGCACCCAACTATGGCCGTGTGCGGCGCCTCGCAGTGCTTTCACCGAGGCGGGAGATCGTGCAATTGTCGCGGCCCAGCGCAAGCCAACTAAAGGCCCAAACAATTATATGAGGTCACGGGGTACTTAAAGCCCCAAATTGTCATGATTAAAGTAAAGTAATAGTAATTATTTGGCCCCAAATACTCTCCTGGTGTGGCGCACCCTTTTCCGGTTCTGAATAGGAAATCCATAGCGCCAAATTTTGACATACCAATTACCAAGCATTGACTGGCAAGAACAACCTGCTGCGCAAAACATCTGATGAATTACTGATTGCTTGCTCAGCCAAGTGATCTACTATGTGATCGTGCCAATGGGAACAAAGGCTTTGAAAACTGTGGTATCAGTCTATATGCAATAATGTGCTACAGAATAGCAATACATGCCACCTGGCTTTTAGCTCTTTGCCCCCCACCGCGTAGCCCCAGACTGCCAGAAGAGGGTTCTTTGAATAAACACATGCATCATGTGCAGCATCAAATGTACTTGTTCTACAGCAGCTAGTCACTTGACGATGTCCAAAGCCCACATTGCAAGACGAGGCATCCAACAATAACCTAAACATAATAAGTCATCCAAATTACGCAGAAACCGGCTAACATTCAAAGCAGCCAATACTTGGTGACTTTGAACAGAAATAAGAACAGGGCTCCAACAGTTCGTTCAAGCCGCGAGGTGTCGTAGGGCCCCCACATTAGCCGCATTAGCGTGGTCATACTCTACCCACAACCAGTCAGAACAAAGGAAATACAAGTAAAAGCTTACCCAGCAACCAGTCAGAACAAAGGGCGTGCAAATAACAAGGACAACGGTGAATACATTAACCCTGCCTGACTCTCGACCAAAGCCTTCCGGTCACAGGAGCCGCTCCTGGCGAGGAAGAGGCGGTCTCGGGATGGAACACCTGAACGGCCTGGGGCAGATGTTGCTTATGCACCTGAGATACGGGACCAACGTAAGACACAAGAAAGTTTTCCTGCATCAACGGTTGAAAATAATTTGCATCAACGGCTGAGCTCACAAACCTTTCTGAGGTCTCCAGAATCGACTTGACGCCTGGGTACCCATTTATTTGTCAGCAACAAATTGGTTCAAACAGGTCAAGCATGGCTATGCTTGACCTATTCACATCACAGGGATTAGGTAAGGCCGAACCTGGCTCCTCGATTTATAAAAGCAACCAAACCAACTCAGAACAAGACATAGAATGTCCGCAACTTGATCCTTGGTAGCAGAAACAAGGCCACACATACGCAAAGAACGTCATGTCGTTTGTCCATCTTTGGCTTCCTACACCACTTCGGTTTGTTCCCAGGAACAACCCCCCCAAAAAAAAACGTTGCGTACATCGTTGTTTCTTCGCTCCGACCAATGTTTCACGTTGCTCCTTCAAGGGGTGGAAAGGAACCTGCAACTTCTACCAAAGCCCAACAAATGAATTGAGGGATCCCTAAGTAGAGGACTTCCATCATGGTGAGCTGGTTTCATCCCCGCCTCGCCATGAGACTCTCGAAATATCAGTCTGTTTCTGTTGCTATGAGCTGCACCTTGCACTCCAAGCGGCTTCTTGGGTTTGAGGAAGAAGCTCCTTAATATGACAAAACATAAAACACGCCCCCGCAAGAATGTATTACAATAGAAACATCAACTGATTGCTGGATTTCACCATGTGCCATGCTGTCGATTCAAAAAAAACACGTTGCGACCTCCTGAGAACCAGAATGAGGATGGGGACTTCTAGCTCGTGTGGGTGGGCTTTGGATCATTTGTTCTCTTGTGGCGTCAAATGGTCTACCAACAAAAACACCATTCCTCAATGGATTTTGTTCACCAGCACGGAACCAGATGGTTCATGTCTGCTTTGTTGATTCAAGCACCGAAGCGTACAGTATGCGCTTTTTGGGGAATCAACAAAGTGTTCATTGCCTTGAGCTGGTAGCCTACGAAGTCACATCTTTTGCCATTCAGCGCCAGGGCATGGTCGCCTGGATCTTCGGGGCACTCTGAGAAGCTAAGCAGTGCTATGGCATCTCATCCAGCCTAGCCTACGGCTTCAAAGCTAATCTAAGCATGTAGTCACGCTTAGCCTAACTAAACAACAATGGTAAACCCCTTTCACCAAACCCTTGTTGGTGAAAAGCCGCTTGGAGTGTGCTCCAAAACGGGCCCCCATGGATTGCGCAGCGGACGCAACTAGGAACGCAAGGGGCTTCCGCCGCAGGGTGATAAGCAAGCACGTCTTGGGCTCAGGTCACTGGGGAACAGGCCTTCATTACCAGTCTTCATCATAGTCTTCGCCATACTCATCTCCGTAATCATCACCATAGTCACCATACTCCCCGCCGTCGTCGCAGCTTTGGCTGTGGCCATCACTTTGACCTTCACTGTTGCCATCACCAGAATTGGGGCCATCCCAATTATACTCGGTCACAGCACCGTCTGGTGCTGTGTACACGGCATGGCTGGAGGAGCTGTCATATGCATAGGTGGAGCCATTCGAGTTCTCATAGCGATATGACCCGTCTGAGAAAGACTCGTAGTAGTTTCCGGCTGCGTTGTGGCCACAATTTTGCGGTTCAGTGTCACTGTCACTGTGACACCATGTGTTGCTCTGGGGGTATGGGACTGTGACAGGTGGGGCAAACATACTTTGACCGCTGGTCTGGCCTGGTTGCTGGATTTGTTGGCTTCGGTTGTAGTACTTCGCAGGGTTGTAAAGTGGAGTCCGACGAACATCGTCTTCTCCCACGCGCCCGAACTTGGTGGGGTACTTGCTGAGATCAATCCCATCTGTATGTACCAGGATGCCATCCTTTCGTCCTCCCATTGGTCCTCCATGGCCTCGACACTCTTTCAACTCCTTCCTGGGAATCTCACATCGGACATAATTTTTCATCTTGTCGTGCTCCATGGCGATCTTCCATCCATCATCCCAGTTGTTGCGTGCAATCGTGGAGCTGCGGGTGGACGGCGGGTACTTCGTGCCGTAGGTTCCAGGGCCTTCAAGGGCATCCCCCCGGTTGGGGTCTGAGATCCCAATGCGGCCTTCTCGAAGAATCCCCTCGAGGCCCCTGTCATTGGTGTAGTGGTAGAATGGGACGACATCTCGCGGCATCTTTTGGTCCGGGATCAAACGGCGCCTAACCTCTGCTCCAGCCAAACCTTGCTTGATCTTGTTTGATTGTACGGCTTCCCTCGCCCAAAGGCCACGTGAGGCCCTTCTGGTCCCTCAAACGATGGTCAACAAGTTGTCTGCATTACATGTTAAGCGCCTCTAATTAAACAGTACACAGCTCACAGCAAACACTCAAAACTTCTTCCAACAAGTGATGCACTTCTAAGTATGGGCTGCAGAACCCGCCAACAACACACCAGTGCCACCATTGCATCCAACTCTTCAGGCATGTCAGGATTGAAGAAGTGCAATCCAGCGTCACTTCCCACCAATGGGCATGCTTCAAGAGTTTTGGACTCATAAATTTCTGCAAAAGGTAGGAGTCTCAAATGACATCTTTGTTTACCGTGATCCTCATATTATGTGCAGTGCTAACCTAGCGTTGCCTTGACCAATTGCAACTTGAAACAGCAACATTGCACCATGAAGTACTGAGATCTTGCGAGATCTTGCAGCTCTTCAAGCCCCAAGGTGAAATTTTAAATGAGACTGCTCCTCTGCAAACTAGGAGGGAAGCCAAAAGGTCTGCAAAAAAAGGCTCTACTAGGTCCTCCAGTAGAAAGGATAGAACAAGGGTGCCCTTTTTTCTGTAGTCTGTTTTAGTACCTCCCCGAAAAAAATGTTAAAAGGGCGCTATGGGGAACCTAGTCTACAAGTGGTGGCCTTTTGTTTTCATGCAAATCTTGGAGTAACGGAGATCTCCACACCCTCGCCCCTGCTGAATCAAATCCGCCCACGTTGCGGAGGCGTGTCGGATACTTAAGAACCCCACCCCCCCCAACCCGACGTCTGATACGTAGGGTTTACCTAAAAATAGTCTTCGGGGAGCCGTCGCAAAACAGGGGTCCCAGGCTCGAATCCCCTGCCGGCTCTTTGCTGGTTCGGGTTTTCTGCCTCCTTTTGCCGAACATCTGGAAAAACTCTGTGTTTTGACATCATGTTTGCGAAAACGTGGGAAAACCAGTGCAGGGAAATGCAAGGACTTGCAGGGGGCAAAAGGTTACATGACAGGAAAGCAATGGGAAATGAAAGGGAAACGAAGGGGAACTGAAAGGGACATGAAGGGGAAATAAATGAAAACAGGGGGAATGAGGGCGGACTGCAAGGCAAACAAAGGACAAGGAAACCGAAGGACACGAAGGGAGATGTCGGGAAATGACTGGCAATGAAAGAAAGGGAGAACATGACAGGGACATGAAGGGGGAATTGAAAGAAATGGAAGGGGACATGACGAGAACATCCCCGAAAAATGACGAGACATGAAAAGGACATGAAGGGGCAGTGCACGGAAATCAAGGCAACTCAGGGGGGACATGACGCTGCAATGCAAACAGAAAGAGAGCGAGAGCGAGAGAGAGAGAGAGAGAGAGAGAGAGAGAGAGAGAAAAAGAGTCAGAGAAAGAGACCGAGATTGAGAAAGAGACAGAGCAGGAGACAGGAAAAAACGGGAGAGAAACAGAGAGAAACAGAGAGAGACAGAAAGAGAGACAGAGAGAGACAGAGAGAGAAAAGGAGAAAGAGACAGAGACAGAGAGGAAAGAGACAGGAAGAGAGAGGAAGGGGGGGGGCAGAGACACGAGGTGGGGAGAATGAGGCATAGCGAGGAGGTAGAGAAAGACATAGACATAGAGAGGAGGGAGAGAGGAAGCGAGAGAGAGAGAGAGAGAGAAAGAAAGAAAGAAAGAGAGAGAGAGAGAGAGACAGAGCGAGACGCATAGAGAGGAAGGAGAGTGAGACAGAAAGAGACAGAGAAGCGGAGGGAGAGAGAGAGAGAGAAAGAGACAGAGAAGCGGAGGGAGAGAGAGAGAGAGAGATAGAGAGACAGAGAGAGACGCATAGAGAGGAAGGAGAGAGAGAGAGAGAGACAAAGAGAGAGAGAGAGAGAGAGAGAGAGAGAGAGAGAGAGTGAGAGAGGGAGGATTGCGAGGATGGGGAGGAGAGAGACAGAGAGGGAGAGAGGACGAGGGAACACACGGGGGAGCAGAAAAGAGAGAGAGGAAGCAGGAGAAAATGGAGAGGCAATGTCGGCGGACTGAGCCAGAGGCTCTAAAGTTTAGATTCTGACCCGCCTCAACTATTCCCTCAGTTGCCTGCCTTTCATTTTCCCTACCAAAGGGGGTCCACCATTTGGGTGTGTCTTCACATAGGGAAACACCCAAATGGTTCCTTTCCTTTAAATGCCCCTTACAACCACCACACAAAAAAAGCCCTGGAACAAAGACCCACCCATTTGCGCGCTTCATTTTTTACAGGAACCCCTCCCCCCCCAAAAAAATGGTAGTTGTCCTCTTGGTTTCCCCTTTAAAGACCACCAATGGAGTACAAAAAAAACACCGAGCCACGCAGCTTCGCCTCGCCTGTGGATACCTCCCAGGTAGCGCTGGTTGCCCGCCCAGAGCCGTTCCAGAGCCGGTGGCGCCAAGATCGGCGCCTGGTTGCGCGCTCCTAGGGCAACCTAGGGCAACCACTGGTTTTAGGGTCCAGGTACATGAAATGCACCGTGAGTGGCCATATTTAGTAAGTCATGGGGTAAATTCCCCTTTGTGTTACGGGTAGTTTGGTCCAGGGGCGTGAAATTCTGCAGGAAAATGGCCAAATCCCGAATAGAGTTGACGAAATCCAGACATTTGCACCAACCCTGAGTGACCATAGTAAGTGGCGCCTGAGGATCGCAAGGGAGCAGCATATTTCGTGCTTGGCAAGTTGCGAAATCCAGAAATCGCAGCTGACAAGCCATGGTTGCAACCCATATTTCTTGGCATTTACCAGGGAAATCATCAGAAACCAGTGTTTCTGAACGGCGGTGCGAACGGATTTCGTCCATCCACACAAGGGGAACCCTTTGTGGCCATAGTCAGTAGCCATATCGGTACCTGGTTAAACGGAATTTGCTGTGCTTGCAAGTCCCACAAGGTGATGACCAGGCTTACCAACTTGTAGGGGTACCCCTTTGAGCAATGAACAACACTTGAGTCATAATCAAAACCTGGTACAACAATGGTCGACCTAGAACCATGTAAAGAAGTAAGAAGGCGGCAGCTATTTGTGGCTGGGATTCTCCCTTACCCTCCAATTACCCGGATTTTGATTGTGGCTCACTTGAGGCTCACATGAAGGGGAAAAAGGTGAATCACCATATGGAGACACCAAAAGTTGCGTAGGCGAGGTACTGTGCAGCTTTCGGGCCGTGCGAGTCAACGAGTGAAGGTCCAGGGCCCGAAAAGTGAATTCCAAGCAACATGTCCCGATTGTCTATCGGTGAACGCAAGGGATGGTGCGGTCTCATCACAAGACAGTGTGCTTTTTGGGGACTGCTTGGTTGTTTCAAGGGAAACCAAACGGAAACCAACTATTTTAGGGGACCTTATTTACCCTCAAAAGACACACACCATTTTTCTGACAAATGGAAACCAAAAAGGGCAACCATTTGTGTGGCTTCCTCTTTGAGACAAAACCCCCCGGCTCCCCAGTTGCCATGGGAAATGGTTGGCTTTACTCGATTAAAAAAAAAACGGGGCACGGGGGTGAGACAACCCCACTGAGTCAGGGCCAAAACTTGGTCTTAAACAAACGTGTAGAATTAAGAAGGCAGCTGCACTTGGTTGGGATTGTCCCTAACCTTCAGTTTCCCGTGATTTTATGGCTCGCACACCCTATCGACTCGATTCGAATCCGCGATTTCACCGATGACATCCGTGCCTCGGAAGTGTGGACCTGTGGCACTGACGGCGAATGCAAAAGCAGCAGCTCCGCCTGCGGCGTCGAAACTGGCAACTTGGGGTTGGGAGGCTTTTGTGGCCCCAAATGGATTCAATCCCCCAGGTCTTTTGCTTCATGCAAGTGGACAAGGGGCCTCTTCAAGAGGATAGAGTAGTCTTCTGCCACTAACATGAAGCTCACCAGAAGGTCCCAAGGGGAAACTTTTCTCCCAGGCGCCGTCCAAGTTGGTTGGTGGGGTATCTGCGTGCTCCAAACCACCAACAAATTGTGGTGTGGTGCACAGGAACCCTCCCGTTTTCCAGACGAACATCGTCTTTCAAAAAGGAGGCTATCCACACAAACTATGAAGACCGGAATTGGACAAAAGTAACATCTGCGGAGTTTGATCTTAGAGCAATACATATTTTGATATTGTAGCAACACATTCCTATGTTATAGGCGTCATATAAGCTCCAGACCTCCACATGCCCTTCACGCCGTTGAGTTTCAGCTGGCCGCCAAAGCATCACCTAACAAAACGCTCGGAAGAGAGTTGTCACTTCGGATTCAAAAGGATGCGAGGGCACCAAAAGGACCCCTCATCTGAAGGCGGTCCAGGATGCGATGTTTGCACCAGCTGAAAATGGAAATGTAGAGACCCCTGCAACAGAAGTTAAACATGTAAGACGCCGTGAGATGGACACTGTTCCAAGAGTCTAACTATTGTGGAAACTTTGGTTTTTCTTGGACCCTGGCTGGTAGAGGCCGCGAGGGGACCATCTCGTCTCATTCAGATTGGACAACATGTTTGATATGGCCAAATTTAAAGGGCCCCTACATTTTGTGCACCTTGCGCATCCCGAAGCTTGATTCCTGCAAAGACCTCTGGGGCTTTTCCGTGAGTCTCCAAGGCCTCCATGAGGACTCAGAACAGAGTTCTGGAACACCAAATTCCGCCAAGGGAAGGGCTCCTTCGTAAGGTGGGAGCCAAGAATAGAAGTGCGCTCTCCAAATGGAAAGCAGACATTAGCGGTTTCCTGCTGGCGGCCCTTTACCGCGAAAATGGTATCAGTTCTTAAACAATCACTTTTCAACAAAAACATGAAACCACCCCCACCCACCCCACCCCCAAAAAAAAAAAAAAAAAAAAAAAAAACGCCAAACATTCAATCAACAAAAAAACAAACACACATTACACCAACCCAAAACAAAAAAATAGACCAAGCCCAAACCGGGCTAACACGCCCTGAAAAAAGGCACATCTCCCAAACGCCGGCCTGCTGAGGTGACTGGCCCAGGAACTCCACGCGGCCCGTTTCCAGGTGGTAGATGCCCCCGTGGATTTCCAAACCTCAAACCGGAAGGGAACGGGCTGGGTTGGAAGGTGAAACAGCCCCTAAAGGGGTGTTGGGGCTACATTTAAGGGAAAGCGGGATTTACCTTCCTAATAAGCATGTTTGGTAAATCCAACATAAAGGGGGTGTGAAAATCAGCAGCTTCATTTCATGGTCTCATGCCCAAGTTCCTGTCGCAGCCTATATTCATCTATCGCGAGCCATGGTTCCCAGGGGTCACCACTGGGTCGCCAAGTAAACTCCAAAACAAAAACCGTCCAAGGGGTCGCCAACTATCCATACCCATGGTTCTGGTGTTGGGCCACGAGTCGCTCCGAAAGAAAAGAAGAAGAAACAAACAACGCCCTGCCTCCGGACTTCACCAGCTCTCGCAAGGGCGAGCTGCACCTGTCGCCACAGGGCTTCGTGTCTTTCATATTGTCTTTATATATATATATATATACACGGTACACACCTGCGTATGTGGTGTAAGTGATTTCGCATCATTTTGCTAATACGTGTTCATGTTCAACAATCGCAATATGTTTTCTGTATACACTGTATATCACGTGTGTGCCTCGACTTTGCTTGCAATGGTGTTTACATTGCCAAATGTGTGCCTGCCTATTGTTCTAGAGTGAAGCAAATATCGCAGTTGCATCTCAAATGCCACGACTGTTCAGTCCGCAAGAAGAATGCAACATGCACTTTCACAGGTCTGCCTCGAAAGTTGAAACTTCTCAGTACTCAATACGCATGTCGGGATATTGTCTTGTGAGCACCCCATCATGCCCCCATCATTGGCCAGACGCAATGACACAGCCAGCATGGTATTGCGGGAGACAAAGTATACGTTCCCCGCCGGCAATGTTGAACGCTTCCGTACAAATATAGTCCTGGCTGCTCAGATAAAAGTCATCTCAACTTGTGTATTAGTATATCTTCCCTACTCGCAACATGGAAAACATGGCTAAGTCACCTTGCATGGAAGAACACGAGTGCAAGATGGCACTGATTAGAAAGACTGCCTCCGCAAAAGCAACGGCATCGCAGGCTTTGCTTCTTCCATCCCCATGTCCTGCCCACATGGACAGAAATGGGCCTGCCTCAGCATGAAGTTGATGGAGTGAAACACGTTGACCTGGCAGGGGCAGTACCCCAAATTAGATCCCTGGCCTCAACCTTGATACTGTGGGCAAAATCCTTTTCGCACCACCTACGAATCCCTGAAAAATAATAATCCCCCTGTGAATACCAAGGAACAATGGTTCCCCTTTTTTCAATCTGGTGCAGGATTTCGTTTATTCGCAGTGATTTGACATGTTGCGGCTTTCGATTGTGCGACGCCCGCCAATGTCCACGAACAAAAACCTAAACATAGCCAAAGCGCAATTAATTTGAACCGTGATCTCTTTCCAGCCAGTCACTCAGAAGGATTGAGAATATGCTACCAGCGTACACCCGGTACTATCCAATGTTGCACAAGCCTGCAGCCTGCCCAAGTATGTGCTACAGTGTTTCCCTAGATGTTGAAATAACCAACAAGAAACCAAATGGGTGTGTCTTTGTTGAGGGGACCACTCAAACTCACACCCAAATCATTAACTGGGTTGCTACGAAACCGTGAACCCCCCACAACTGTTGAGGTTGTCTTGCACGCAGGCAAGTTAGTTGCGCTGTCGACCCATGCAGTGAAGTCCCAGAATTAGAAGTTGGATGCTTTTCAGTATGTTCTTTCACTATATGGCCATGGGTCAAACTCCCGTACCCCCAGTGAACATCCCAATCCCCACTAAAATAGACAAACATGAGTGGTGCACCTACCCCAAAATAGGATCCCATTGGTTTAGACAACCACGGCCATATATCCGATCCCATGTCTTCAGCAAGAGCGAACGCATGTAGTCGGACGGGTACACTGCAACTGCGAGCACATGCCTTTGGGGGGCCTCGGTGAACCCTGGTACGACACCAATCCAGAAGGAACCACGCTAAAACCTCAAAAAATACCGATCTCGCATTCAATTCCTGGAATTAATTGATGGTAGTGCTCCGAATAGCCCCCAATGCAAGTAGATGCTTTGCTCTGTTGAATTGGAACCATCCCCGTCTCTTCTTCCGCGCGTAAAAAAACTGGGGCGTTCCCGGTGGAAGGGGGCAAAGGGGGGGGTTCTTGTTAGAAATCCTCCCACCCATGTTCCCCGTTCGTTTCCTGGGGGCTTTTGACTTCCCAGGCCTTAAGCTCTTGGGTTCCTAGATTGGCCCCCGGCGCCCGTTTTGGGGGACCCCCCTCCAATCGTCGCAACCACGTCCCGTCCCAATCCACGCGACTCGCCCATCGCTCGATCCGTCGCCTTCACGGAGTGCCGTGCCAGGTCCCGGAACTCGAAGCCGCCCCCCAGCTCCTCAGGGCCGGCCGGAGGTTTTTTCCGGGCCGGTGGGTTCAAATGAAAACCACCGGCTGAGCGCGGGCTCGCATTTAATTACCAGGGCAACCCAATTTTGGTGGTTGACCCTATCTTTTTGACCTTTTGACCCAGGCCAAGGTAGGAAACCCCCACAAAGTGGGACACCGCTGGAAACGGCCCCTTTCACTTTGGGGCTGTGGCTTGGGGTTGCCCCTTTCATTTGAAAGGGGTTACCTAGGCGTGAATTATCAATGGGTTTGTCTTGAATTGTGGAACCCATCTATTTCTAACCAAACCTACAAGAGCCACCTATGCCACAGTTCAGGGAACCCTCAAAAAAGGCGACACGACCCAACAAAAACAAACCACCAATGGAACCCATCCATTTCTAAACAACTTAGCCGATCAACAGGCCGCTTATGGGCTTGTCTAGAAACTAAGAATAAGTGTCGTTCCTCTTTGGTTTCTCTCAAAAAGGAAACGCCCCCCCAAGAGGGACAAACCTAAATTGCCAGTTGGTTGGTTTATTCATGGCTCCAAAAAGGGAGCCCTCCTAAAAAAAGGAAGACACGCCCCCTCAAATGCCCAGTGGATGTGCATGGAAATACAAGCGCCTTTTGTTGTTGGTTGAGTTTAAAGGAATCGGAACCCTTATCCAAAAAAAGTTGAGAAAAGGAAGCAACCCACTGACGAACAGAGCACCAAGAATCATAGAAACCAGCTACAGGAAATTCGACAGGAGCCCAATTGTAGTCAGTTTCTTAGAAAACAAAGGCTCCAACAAAACAGAAAAAAGGAAGTCACACCCCAAAAAGGACAAACCCACCAAACATGTCCAGCCCCCAAAAAGGGAAACCCCACCGAGCCCCTCCGCCTGTCGACCCAAACGTCTCCTCCGCGGAGCTTTTGGCCACCGCCGACAGCGCCGTCAGCAGACCCTCCAGCGCCCCAGGCTTCGACGGCTCGCCGGCCGCCTGCGGTTGGGGACCGCAGGGGTGGCTTGGGCTTGGTTTAAGAACCCCCTACATGACAAAATATGTCCAGCGAAATCGAGATCCCTAAAAACCAGGGGGAAAATGATACAGATTCAATTCAGCAAGTGGATAGATTCCCCTAAACACCAACATGGAATCCCACTGAACATTGGCGGGGGGCGGGGAACTTCCATCTTTTTGGAATTGGTACCTTTTTGGGGTGTCCCAAAGATGGTACCATTGTCTTGGGGTGGGTTGAAAGGGAAACAAAGCAAACCACCATTTTGCTCCCCCCCTTTTTTCAGAAATTCCCGTTGTCATCGGGTACTTGTCAAAATATCGGATCCCAAGCAATTGGCGTTGGTCCCCTCTTAGCCTCTTGGTACTGACCAAGGTGGAAAATTGTAGGCTCTGCACACCCAGTTGTTGTTTGGGACTTAAACTCAAGGTTTATCTTGGGGAAAAAAACACCCATGGGTTTAAGTCTACCTTGGGCAAAAGAAATGAACCCCTGTTGGGACGAACCAGAATTGGTGGTTGCAACAAAAACAAGCTGGTTCAGCTTCCCAGATTGGTTCAGCTTCTTAAAGCCCTGAGCGACTTGCTCCCCAAGAGAGTTTTGTGGGAGAAGTATGCGGCTACCCTGAAGGACGTGGGAACGTTTTCTGAGGAATTGAGTGAGCCCATCAAGGCTTGAGGCAGTCGTTGTGCCCGTCGCTTTGGCGGATTGAGAATGGGCTTGAAGTTGGTCTTCGCATTTACCGGACACAGGCAAACAGGCTTTCACAAACAGAGCGCGAGCATGTATATGGTAAAACTACTTTCAAATGCAGGGGTTTTAGACCGGTGCTCATATGTTCCCGTAAAACTAACATGGAACCCAATAAACAAGTCCCAACTAAAACAAGGACACTATCCCCAGATTCTAGAACATGTTGGGCTCTTGGGACCTTGCAAAGTTCCGGAGAACTTTGGACCCGGCACCGAGCAAAAGGGCAATCCCTTCGAGGATACTTGGCCAGGCTTAGAGCACTGCGAAAAGGGAAACCGAAGGACGCCCATAGGCAAAAGGACACGGCTAGATAAGTCTGCCATAGGTGCCCTTTTGAACAAATAGAGGGCACTGGCAAATGACGCGGACCAAACTAATTTGATCAAACAAACTCAAAAGGCACCTATGTTCGCAATGTTTGTATACAGGGCCCGCATCTGGGCTACACTGAACATGAGATTTTCTCACTCTTGGCCACATTTAGTCCACCCCAAATACCCTACCTACTTTGGACAAGACTTCCATTTGATTAAGGCCCCTGGAAAATATGTTTAAACAAATCCAATAGTGATAGAGTCCCTTTAAAACCAACAGGGAAAAATAAACAATATTCTTAAGCAAATGGAAGAAGACGGCCATACGCAGCCCCGAGATCCTCCATTTGCGAAGCCAAGCGATTTCGAAGCCCCGCCTGGCGCTTGAGGTAGGTCTGCGCCGCCCCCGCCAGCGCGCCACAGTGGGTATGGCCCAGCACCAGGATCAGCTTGGAGTTCAGCTTGGAGGCGCAAAACTCCAGGCTGCCTGCGGAGTGCGGAGTGCGGCTGCCGCAGAAGGGGGACGCGCGCAAGGGGAAACATGCCGAAACAAGCCGACTCGGCTGCTGAAAAAGGGTCGGGCTTCCTGCTGACTTGGAGAAAAAAACATGTGCAGTGGAGAAATGGAAAGCAGAAACATGGGTGGGTTCCAAATTAGAGAGAGAGAGAGAACGAATGGGTTGCCTTGCGGCTTCCCCCGGAAATGGACGACCCGAGGCCTTTAGCTGAGCAAGAAGCCGGAAAAATGGTTCCTCGCTTACATTTAGATGCGAACATGAGAATGCATGAGCCAAGCACAAAACACCAACCATGTACGCATATAGCAAGCAAAACACACATAGGTAGTTGCCGGTGCATTCGATATGAAAGTCAGCTGGCAGCTAAACCTAGAATACTTGATGTCACCAACACATCATCAGATATCATCATTGATCTGGCAATGTCGTGCAAGTGGGCACAGGAAAGCTGCCACGCATGAGTCACATGCACTTTTGCCACAAACGATACACCTTTAATCAGCCTGACCTTCATTGGACAACAAATCAGAGTTGTCCACCCTCATGGAGTCTGGGCAAAAAAATGCTATTGTTCACAAGCATAAACATCCCCAAGTAAGGAGCCATCATAGCTTGTCTCACCCCGCAATGCGTGCTCGTTGCAACGCGGGCGGCATCCCTGCCTAAGATGCTGCCCTCCGCATGAGTGCAGGTATTGCCAGCGTTCCTGGCCAGCTGTACGTGACACTTGGAACGGCAGAGTTCGTTCCTTTCTCGAAAACTGACTCTTTGTTGCCGAAATAAGTTTGGTTGAGACACAACAGCTGCCGATCAAACACCAAATAAAGGTGCGAGCTGCTGGTACTGCAACCAGGAAGCCTTGGGTAAGTGCAAATCTACTGCATCAATCTGCCCGAGCGGAATAGCAGCAAATAATCAGAAGCACGGGTCCCAGGGCACAAATCCAGCTCCGCGACAAACAGGCCATGTCGCTACATCAAGGCTGATCTTGGTCGACCGCACCGGCTGAGCAAGGCCGCTGTGGTTCTGACGCACTTTGACATGCCCCAAGCGCGAGACAACGGCGATTCCTGCAGCTCGCCGGTATTTACTCTGCCAAAGCTCAGCAGCCGAACAAAGCATAGCTTGCTGCTGTCTGACTTTGCATGTTCGCGGATTCAACACAAAAAACAACTTCATGGACGTCACAATCTGATGAGGCCATCCGACTCACAAGAAACTCAGGTACATTGCAAGAGGTTGTTCCCAGTACTGGTTGCAGGCCAATGCTAGTTCGGTCAGGATGACGTCACACGAGCAGCTAGTAGCATGATCATGTTTGCACCTCTGTTAGTGGAGTAACACGTCAGCAATTCTGGAACTCATCGAACATGATGGCATCATCTGATACTTTAGAGCAATGTGTGCGTCATACTAGCATGATGAGACAACCGAGATTCGCAAAGCCGGTCGGCAATCGTTTCATGAGAACATGACCTCTGAACGGATTCCGTACATGTGTAGAATTAGACAAAAGGAAGCCAACATAAGAGTTGTTCATGGGCCTGCTAGCCGACTGTCCTACAGCTCGCAGCTTACCGATTTCAGCCAATCCACCAACACACAAGTCCGGCAGCCACTGCAAAGTTACAACCAGAAAGAGTTGTAGTTTATTCCCAGAGAAGTATAAGTTAAGCCAACGAGAAACAACATGGGGAAAGGAAGAGCAAAAGACTGGGCAAGGGAAGAAAAGGGAAGAGGGTGGGAAAGCACGGAAAAAGAATGGGAGAGAAAGGAGAACGTGCAAGGGAAACAAGGAGGGACAAGGATGGAAAAGGACATGAGAAAACAACAGGCAAGGAGAACAGAGAAAGGAGATGACACGCTTTTTGCCCTTTGGCCTGTTGTTCATTTTCTTCCCTTGGGTTTACGAAAAACCCAACCTGCAATGGCTAAACAAAAATACACATTAAGAGTACTATGTCTACCAAACAAGTATGTCGATCTCGACAGGCAAGAGCCGTATTTTCTGAAAATACTCCAGGGACGCGCAAACATATGCAAGTAACGCAACAACACAATGACACTTCCATCTGTGTGGCACGCACGCAAACACACGCGGGCACCGCACGCAAGCCAAGCAAAGCCAAGCAAGCAACGCAAAGCAAAGCCAAGCAAGGCAAGACAAGCACACAAATAAAAAAGACACACAAACCAAAAACACACACCTCGGTTTTCCCCCCACGTCCTCAGCACGAAGAGGTCCCCTGGTGCGTCGAAGACCGTGTCCACCGGCGCCCGGCAGTCCGCGCATCCCAGCACTGCCGCCAGTGGCGAGGGCCGGGTGCGGCGAGCCGTGAGGGCGCTCCGCGCGCAGCGGTTGGACCGGTTCTCCGCGAAGCGGCGGTTGCCCTCCTCGGTTTGCTTTCCGGCTGCCTAGAAAAACCAATTCGAACATGCCGGCCAGGCTCACTTTCAGATTCCCAAAAAAAAGCAAGAGGAAATGCCAAGGCTCATGGGAGTCAACCCCTCGAGTGCGCGAATAAGGTCTTAATGAGGCCTTGTTAGGCTCAATTTTGGGGAAACACTGGAGCGGGGTTCGGGCGGGGAGGATAAATCCTACGGGCGGATGTGGACAAATGCATAACCCTCAGGGATGAGCATGGTAGCGTCAAGAATTGTCCCGTGCCCCTGGCATAACACAAGAAAGGTGTGCTTTGTCCCTAAACCCAAACTGGCTGGTTCCCTGCCTTGCCCAACCTACAAAGGTCCCCCGGAAAGTGGATGGGCCAAACAAAGTCCGAACTTAAATGGTCTTTCCAAATGATAAAAAGTCCAAAACGGAACTCAGGAAGTAAGCATTGGTGCATTGCGCAAATGGACGGCTCCGGTCTCCGGTCGGCTCCTTCAACACCTCCAGCGCGCGCGCTGCCGCGGTCGCCGCGTTGCTCTCTGGCCGTGCAACCCAGGTGTCCCGGGCCACTGACAAGGGCAGCGGCTGCTGCGAGGACATGAACTCCTCAGAGCTTCCGGAAAACGCAGACCCCCACAAAGACCTTCGTACTTGCCCAAAAAACCTGGAAGTAAAAGGTTAACCTTTTGGGACCTCTACTAAAAAAAGCAAAAAGGGAAAACAAAAACGTCAAAAGGTCGGCCTTGAACAACTGAGCCTTGTAAACATGGATGGTTTATAAGGATCATTCCCTCATTCCCTGCCTTGCGCCAGCAAGAAACGCACCCTAAGACCTTGCAAACATATCCTACATGGCAGCAAAAGACCCAGTCCCTGTTCCAGAATGTTTTTAAGGTCGCACAAAAAACAAACTGGCTCTTTCTGGCGGTTCTACCTTATGGGTATAGCACTGGAACCTTTGATGGGTTGCAGCTACTGACCCAGGATGTTTGATGGCGACCCCGCCCAAGAGATTCAAATTTGAGGATGACATTTGGCACTGGGAAGGGGTCAAAGACTACCCGAAGTCCATGACTTGCCTGCATGAGACCCACCCGTTGAGAAAAAGGGCCCCCCTTGGGTTACCAGAAATTGTCCATGGTGTTTCTCAAAATTAGGGAACCCTCCAGGTGGTGTTGCTACCTTTTAGTTTTCGCTTAAAAAAGCATCCAAACAGGGTGTGGGGGTTGATCAAAAGGTCCTTTACATTAGGGTGACCATGAGGGAAACCAACAACAAAATCACCACATGAGAAAAGTTACCGCCCCCCACATCAACTCCAAAGGCACACGGATTTGGGGAGGCTTCACTTCACCAGACCCACACAGACCCGGGTTCTTTCACCCCTCTATGTTGGGCAAGCCCGATTTGGAGACAATGGTAGCCTTGGTTGCCTTGTGCAAAAATCGAAGCCTTGACGGCCTCCCTCGTTGTTGCGCGTCGGGCGATTCGAATCGCGCCTCTTGTCTCGGGGAGGGTCCAAGAAACTCCACCCGCCCCGTGCGGAGGTCGTAGATCGCCCCCTGCACCTGGCTCATGAAAAAAACAAAAACTCAACCAGCACCCAACCGTGGCTTTTTGAACCATGGGGATTTTGCACATGAGCAGTGTCTTTTTGGATGTGTGGGTCCTTATCATTTTGAACTTGTTTGCGCGGCGCCTACGCCACGCCTACGCGAAACGCAACAGTCCCACAACAACGCCTACGCGAGACAGAGCTGACTAGATACCTGCCTACGCCGCCGACGCGGCAAGGAAGAGTTCGGCTACAGGATAAAACAGAGGTTAGCCACCAAAGACCTCCGATCAAAGTTTGGTCGACATGCCTACTCAAAGCCTACGCGGAGTCTACGCGGCGCCTACACGATTTCCGCCTGCTTTGTTATGGACATCCGGGATATGCTTTTGCCTATTAGCACAACTGGTCTACTGGCAGCAGTGCCCGCAGTTCGAGTTGCTAGCTGCGCTGCCGGACAAGCAAACCTGTTCCTCCTCCGCCTTCAACCGCCAGCTTGCGCCGTCATGCTGCAAACAACTGGCGAAAACTACTACCCACAGCTTGCGCCAAACTGCCACTCACAAACGGTCACACAACCATGTGTTGCATAGCAAAAGCTCAACATGTCACGTGACATGCTCATTGAGCATGTCACGTGACAATTCAAGCTGATAAGCGGCTGCCTACGCGACTGCCTACACGACTGCCTACGCCAAGCTTCGCAACACGAGCCTCCGCGAAATGCCTACGCGCGCCTACGCAGATGTGGCCTGGCAGTCAAGCGCCTACGCGACATGTAACAGATGTCGCTGCGAAGATGTGGGTCTTCGTGCAGAACAAAAACAAGCTGCTCACATGGGAAAAGTCAGTTGCGGTGTGCTAGTAGTTGGCTGCATGTTTGTTCAGACTGGATATATGATATTGGCCTCCCTTTCAGAAATTCAACATTGGAGGTCCCCGACTACATGTCCCGGAAGCATTGAGCACATGTCCCACCCCAAAACGCAGAGGGCTCACTTACGTACAGATCTATTTTCCAGCATTTCACGAAGTTTGCACTTTCCAAGTTAGGATCCCCTTTTAAACATTGTCCTGCCGACATCCGGGAATCTGAAACGCATCCCGCACGTCCCATGCATGTCCTTGAAATGAAAACAACACCACCCTCATGCCATGTGCAGTTGCCGTTTCCGATTGAACCAAAAAGAACCTGCGGGGAAAGGGGCGCCAAAATGGATACCGCAAAGCTGGCGCATCCCATTTCAATTTGGGGCAACCAAAAAAAGAAAGGATCAAGTAACTGCCAGCTTTCGGCCAACTATTCCCGATAGATTGGAACTTGTTGCACTGAAAGAATCCAAGGACACTTCAAAAGCGGGCCTTTTGATCAGCAGGCTTTCCCGTTTCAAGGCTGGTTTTGGAACACCTTTGTTTTAACTGGGCTCTCCCCAAATGCCCTGCTAAAGGTTTATCTTGTACTGGAATCACCCACCACTAAACCCTCAACAAACCCTAAACACCGAGAAACCTAAGGGGACTGCTGGAAACTGGGTAATTATCAGGTTAGAAAACCGCCCTGGAAAAAGCGGTTTGGTGCCCATCCCCCGATCTCCGATTTGGACGGATAGGCCCACCTCCAGCTTTCCGAGCCGGACCTTGTCCCGGATCGGCGCCGAGAACTTCAATAAGAAGTGGACCGTGTGGAACACGTTCACCCGCACCTCGGGCCCCAAATTTTCGAGGAAACAGCGCGAAAAAAATGTTGGGGTTAGTGTGAAAGCAGGGGAACCCTCACCCCCCCCGCACTTCGCAAAACAAAAAGAAGAAGGTGATTCCCGGTTGGCTTCGCTTTAAGACCAAGCTGAAAAGGACATCATCAACAAACAAACCAACACACACAGATCAGCTGTCGGCCTGTTGTTTGCTTTGTGTCTCGGCATGGAAGAACGTGACGTGGGAACAAACAGCCGACCGGAAAACAATACAACCATCCGTTGTCTTAAGTCCCTGAAAAAAATGAACATATTTCCAGTACGTGATAGGCTCCCTTTGAAACCAACAGGGGAAAATATAAAATATGATTCACCAAATGGAAGCAACTGATTTGGAAGTGGGCCATAGAACAGAACTTGAATTTTGTTTGACGTGTGTTGGTTAGATGTAAAGGGAAGGTAACAGTGACAAGCTGAGCCCAAGCCCACTTCTCCAACCCGGCCGGTTGTGTCTTTTGCATGTTGATCAAATGGTCCCATCAACCCAAATGCTTTCCACGAAATGGCAAAAGTTACCATTTGGGGTCGAACGGAATATTGATCGACCAGTGTAACCTTTGTGCGCGGAAGGGGTGACTTTGGCAATGCTCCCGAAATTCCAGCCGATAGCCACAAACTCAGTTCCAGGAAGCCCCACTAGTTGCTCTGCACCTGTTTGCTCTTTCTTTGGGGGACATCAGCGAACCGTTCGAGCAACCGCATGTTGATGGACTTCACTCCGTTCGCCCAGGCAAGCCAAGTCTTGAGGCTTAGGAAACATACGGCGCTGATTCAAAGCAAATGGGGAGCCGTTGCAGCGGTTTTGTGACTAGTCGCTGTTAGTGAATATGTGTCGCCAATAGTAGCTATTAGAGTCCAAAGGCCATTGACCTTCTCATGGCGGCCCTTGCTATGGCTCTGAAACAGTATTCGGCCAGGCTTGAGCCTCCTGCTTCATCCACCTGTTCAGCGATGGACCCAACGCTCATTGGCTAAAATCGACCAAGTGTTGAGCACTTGTATGTGCCTGCGTTAGCTTGTTGCAGGAACTTTGACACACACACACACAGCCATCAGGATGCCGCCGAAGTGATTCACTACTTTGGGGAAGCGCGTCTATAGGACTTGCCTTTTGACCCTGTAGTCAAGCAGCCTGCAAGCCTTTCAGCGTGTTAATCATTCTGAAGTTTCCATTAATATGACAAAACAGAACTACTACCAGGAATGTCTTACCAAAAGTGGGTGCTTTAGTTTTATAGCTCTATCGGCAACAGGGTGGGGGGTGGTGTGACGAATGAAGTAGCGGTTTCTGTTGGTCTTCATGCTCCGGCTAAGACTGATGTTCCCTTCTTCACTTGACTGCACCACATGTCAAAGTGGAAAACAACAACTGGCCAGGAGTCTTCTATTCTAGACTTCGTTCCTACCTCAGCAAGCGATGGCGTGTCTTCTAAAAAGTCGACACGGATTCAGGAAGCCTGCAAATTAATATTAAATAGGGGGTTCCCCCCCAAAAAGAAACTGCAAGATCCCCTTCAACATGGCATACCCCTTTCTGATCACTGATCAAGCAGGGTCGATTCATCCTGAGTCAACATGTAATTTCGGCAGTTCTAACATGCTGGGACCCAGAGCTGGTTGGCTTCCTGTTGGTTACTGTATAATTAAAGGCCAACCAAACATGTTCGCCCCCCCCCCAAAAAAAAAAAACGGCAACACAATGGGCGCGCCCATTTGCAGGCGAGTTGTCTGGATTCTCTCTATCCCCATGAAAAGGCGGCGCCGTCCGAAGAGGGCCCACCCACTTGCCCCCATGGGCCCTGGAAAAAAGGAAACAACTTCAGCGTTTGGAACCAACAGACCAACAGGGTAAACACAAAAAGTGACAAGCCAAATTCCCTTTGGACAAGTCAAAGAGAAACACAACAGGTCAGATCCGGCCGATTCGGCTTGGACAAGTGAGCCCATCTCTTTGACAACCCCAGCAACTAGGTCCTCTAGAGAGGTTAGAATAAGGGCACCCGATGGTTTTTTTTCCGTAGTCTATTTTAGTAGGGGAACCCTCCCCAAAACAAGGGGAGAGAAGGGCACTACTGGGGGACCTAGCAAAATGCTGTCCAGGCGCCGCATGGGCGGCGATTTCCTCAAAGCTTCGGCCGCTCTGCTCCAGCGCCGCCTCGCTGTGTGCCCGGGCGGACGGAGGAGCGGAGGGAGCAAACAGCTCAGAGACATCCCTCCGGAACACCAATCAAAAACACGAAACTGCAATAATACTGCGGAATGACGGCGGAAATACCACACCTCGGTTGCAAAACGCTCTGCTGGTCTCATCTGGGTGGGGACGCATAGATGAGAATTACTCCAAAATTGCAGCTTTCATGTTGGCTGTCTCCTTTACACCAGCTCTAACCACTAAATCAAAGCATGAAGGGTTCCTAGTTTCTTTGAGAAGTTGCTTCACAACCTTTCTAAATCGCTCTCTCTCCGGATTGACCCGCGTGGGCCGCTGTGCAGGTATGCCCCCACAAAAGTGGCAGGGCCCAGCGTGGGAAAAGCCAACAAGCAGCACAAGTGGGGTGGCCAATGGCGACGTGCCAAGTGAACGCGAGCTGTTAGCACCTGGCTGCCCTGTCATGCCCTGTCCTCAAACAACAACTGGCTGAACATGCCGATCATAAATCCACGCACCCGTGTTGCAGTTTGACCTCCAATTCGATCAAAGGCAAAAGCTCAAACTGCTTGCCCTCCGGTTTCAATGTAATTAGTCTTCCCACTGGCCAAGTGAAAGGGACACGGAAACAGCCCCAGTTTCTGATCTCACCCAAAAGTCACGCATTGCGCCAGGATCTCTTGGATCCCCACCCTGTGCAGGGAAACGCCACTAATTGTTGTCTTCCCTTGATGCCCCCAACATCATCCTGGTTGCTTGAGTCTTGTGACTAGGACCTTGGGAGTAGGACGCGTTTTTTTCTTGTCTGGATGCCCGGAGGAACCCCATTCCCCCTATGCGTCACGGAGTTCATGGCTCCCACGCTCGGCCTGCTCAGCCACGGCGGACATCTCCTGCTGATCCCCAAAAAAAGCGCAGAGTGGGTATGCTGAAGATATGTGCAAGATATAAGTAAACATATACATGTACACTTGTCCATACATAATTATGTACATGTAATACCAGGATGCTTGAAGGAAGAATTGGTAACATTTCTGTCAAAGTGCTCATGCCTGTCAAAATATATTTTTACGACACACAAAAGGCTAAATTCCAATCCTGCCTCTTCGTGATGGTATCAAGCAAAAATAGCTTCTTCAAACTCGGTTTTGGTGGTTCCGCGGATTTCCACCTAGTTCTCAAAGATTTCCGCGTACGTATTTCCTGCAGATGTCCGCATATCTCCCGCTGACTTCCCGCCGATGTCCCAGCATTCTTCGCAACACTGTTCCACCTGGTTGAAACATGCAAACATAACAGGATGCACTTCCGCGCATGTTCCGGAATGTCCGCTTAGACAAACACATAGCAGGGACAAACTACAATAAGCAAGATCTCGTTCCTATTTGAGGTTCCAGGTATATTGGGTATCTATATATATATATACCCATATTCATTCGTCCGGGGGGGTCTTCTCTTCGCAGTCTTGGAGTATGTAAGCCTGGGCTGCCGCAACCGCCCATTCGCATCATCCCTGAAGGACCTACATCATGGCTTTCGCGCGTTGTACAACTCGAAACCCAAGCGCAGATTCCCGTGGGTTTGTCTTGAGATGGTGAACTCCAAAACTGGGCGGTTTGTTTCCTTTTCGTTTCCCTTTTGCACACCCTCAGAGGGTACGCCCCCCTCGCTATTTCCCCGCTTTTGAGTAGTCGGTGTGTCCTTTTTCAGGGGACCCCTCCCCTCAAATGGTGTTCCTTTCGATTTCCTTTAAAGCCACCAAAACAGGGGCACCCTTAAACAAAGGACTTCGGCCAGACCCTAGGTGAGTGTTAAACGGACACCCACCTACACGCCCAAGTCCTGCATCAAGCCCTCCAACGCCGTAGACACCGAAGTCGCCTTGGCCTCGAGGAAGGTCCGGGTGGCGCCGTACACGGCCCCGCACTTCCTGGTGGAAACTTCGGAAGGCGTAGAGACAACCAGGAGGCCGCGGAACATCCAAGAAGAGCATTGCCTATGTTCCAGCTTGTTTGGGTCCATGTGTTCATTTGAAGTCTAATGTTTCATATGTGTTTATGTAGGATGATGGATCATGAGTTCAGATGCGTCATATTTTGTCTAGCTTGAGATGGAATGGTTTTGGAGGAGACCCCGAGTCCTGGCCAACCCTGAGAAACACAACATGACATGAGCTAAGCCTTGTTGGGTGGTTTTGGATTGGTTTGGGTCAGCTCATTGCTTCGACCATCCAAACTCAACAACAACCCGCGCCAGCAATCCAACCACCAGCAGGTCAGGGTTTTCCAAAAGCAAAGGGCCCAAACTTTTTGTCTAACCCAATGGTCCGATCCCAAAAAGTGACGAAAGGTCGTAACAACTCGGGGAGTGAGAAAAACTTGCGATCGGAGCGAAATCGATGCAGGGAATGAGAATGAGGGAATGACCCCGAACTACACCATTCAACTGGTGGTTTCCTTTGAGGGGACCAATTCCTGGGTTCATTCCATTTCGCATTCCCTACTTGTACCACCAGCAAGAAAAGAATACATGGCCATGGGTCAAAATCCCGGTTAGCCCCCAGTGAACGAACATCCCAATCTAACCACTAAAATAGGTTCTAAAATGGATGGTGAATTCACCAATCCCAACCAAAATGGGATCCCGTTTAACGGTGTTGACAACCACAGTGACATGCCGAGGCACGTGTGGCCCAGGACTAGGATCAGGCTGGTGCCGAGTTTGCTGGTGCACAGCTCCAGGCTGCCCACTAGGCTGCCTCACAACACCATCACGGGGAAGAAACTTCGAACTTCCATTTGCTTAAGCCCCCTAGAAGAAAAACATACAGTAGTGATGGATCCCCTTTCCAACCAACAAGGGAAAAGAAAACATATTCTTAAGCAAAAGGAAGCTAATCAGGTTGGGGTAGGTGGGGAAGCTGGGTGGGTTGGCTTGGGTGGGTGCTTGGGTGGGTGCTTGGGTGGGTAGGTACAATATATGAACATGTGAATGATTGAGTGAATGTATCTGTAGATTGCATTGCCGTGCAAATTCAGATGTAGCTTTGTATGTACATGTAGCCATGCATATGCATGTGCATAGGCACATGTGTATATATGTTCACTGCGCCCAACCTGAAGGGACCACGAGACATATATATATATATACTTGTCTCTGACATGTCTACTGACTCACACAATCACACAATCGGCAATGTCACAAAGACAGGGTGCACATTGTGCAAACTTACGTTTATGTGCGAGTGTGCCACTGGTGTGCCCTCGGTTGCCGCTGAACCAAACCCGAAAAGGGTACACTTGACAATAAGTGGGTGTCTTAAAATAGTGGACCCAAACCTGTAACACAAGGTCAACACGTCAACTCACCTACACTTCATGGTTTGGAGGCTAGGGTTCGATTCTCCAAACCACCAATCCAAACCACCAACTTGGGGTTGCCTGATTGACAGAACTGCAAATGGGTATGGGGGTGAATCAATATTCCTGAAGCCCAAATGACCATGGGTAACGTTTCCCAATTCGTTGGAAAGCCATCGTTTTGGTGGTCTCCCTTGGTCATCCCATGTAAAGGATCCTTTGATCAACCATGCCCGGATGAAGAAGGAACCCCACGACTTGGCCAAACATGAGCTACTGAGTACGTTCTAGGTCGGGAAACACCCCCTCACTAGGATTCATGACTCCGAAAACCATGACTCCAGCATAAGAAACCCACACACCCAAATGGGCATCGCCTGCAAAAATGCAGGGTTTACGATGCACGGAACAAAGATGCGCAGGGTACCTAGGCCCCGCCGCTCTATGATTCTTTTGGACTGGGGGAATAGCATGTCCAATACTGTGGATGGACGAACTCCATGTCGCACCACCTAAGAATTCTGATGATTCCCCTGCAAATACCAAACAAACAATTGGCTCCTCTGGATTCAACAGGGATCCGGATGCATGATACACCTGGACATTGCCTTGCAAATGGCGGTTTCCCTTTATTTCGGTGATTGAAAAAGCCACATAATTTCAATATGGTTGCAAAACTTGTATCTTTCAAATGGTGCCCTGTCCCACCCTGGTGTCTGATTCGATTGCCCTGGTAAATGCCAACCAACACTGGGCTCCTCTGGCTTCCAAGTGGCGCGACCCGCAGACCCGCGACTCGGCCCCTTGGCCTTCCGCGTGCGCGCAGCTGTTCCCCGCGTTCCTCACCGCGAAGATCTCCCCGGCCGGGGCGTCGAAGATCGCCTGCGCGGAAAAAAAAAGAGACGCGCCGAATCCAGGCTCGGTTGCTTTCTGCTTCCCTGCTAAAGGTTTGACTTAGTTGGCAAAAAGTTCAAGTCCTAACATCCAAGCAGAATACACCAAGGCAGGGCGCCACCTAAAGTCTCCTTCTGACCCTTCAAAGATGGGGTCATTACGCAAAATAATAGGGTCATGGACCAATGACCCCATTTTTGAAGGGTCATGGAGACTCCAGGCAAATATAGGCAAATCCAGGGATTCTCCCTTAATCTCTAGGGGTTGATTCCTTGTCCACTCTTTCCAACCGGATCCGTTTTCCCGGGGTTTCCGGAGGTTTTCTGGAAAGAAGGATCCCTGGAAAGAATGGGGAAGGTACCCCTAGAAAATCCACACCTCTGGCCAGCTAGCTTCCGGACGTACTGTGGATGGACGAAATCCTGCACCCAAGACATCCTGGAATGAACTGATTCCCCTGTAAATACCAACAAACAATGGTTTCCGGCTTCAACGTGGTGCAGGATTTCGTCCATCCACAGTATGTCCATGGTTTGGGGAAAATAATCCTTTCTGACACGTTTGCTTTGTTTAAACGGCCGTCCTCTTGTGATGCCCGCCCCACAAGGACTTTTGAAGCAATAGCATAGCAGGTCATCGCCGGGGCTGTTTTTATCACCAAGGGGATTCCTTGGTGTCGCAGAACGTGTCTCTCATTGCCGATAGAGTACGCTTTGTGGGGGAAACCAAAAGGCCAAAGGGCACCTTCCATTTTTCGGTGGGGTAAGGGGAAATCAAAAGGAACCCCCCATTGTTCGGGTTGCCACAAGTTTGACAAAGATATTGGCAAGTGGCAATGAGTGGCTTCCCCACGGTCGCAAGGGTGCCCTGATGTGTGTGTTCTTTTGGTTTGATGGCGCCCTTTTTTGTGGCGTTTGAAAACCAATGTAAAACCGATGCCATGTCTTTTCTTTTGTTGTCCCCTACACAAATTGACACACCCATATGGTTGATGGCAAAATCAAAATGCAGTCACCAGGTGGTTTATCGGTTTATCCCTTAAACATGGGGTTCTGAACCCTTTCTTTTGGGTAATGACCCAATTTGCCAAGGGTCACGGAGACTCCAGGCCCTGCTACTGTGGAGGAACGTGCATCTCTTTCAAACCATGGTTGCAACCACTGCTTGTTGGTATTGGGGGGAATCAGCATTGGGTTTCCGAATCCACGGTATTGTCCGCGTTTTTTTCCATGTGATATCAACAAAAAACAAACACGACGCATCCGCTCCTCCAGAGGCGCCCGCAGGTCCGAGCAGCCCACCACTGCTGAGAAGGGCGCCTGAAGCGAGCGTGCGACCCTATGGCGTACCCGGCCTCTAATCATGGAGGCTCAGGCTTCCATTTGCTTTCCGCCCCCTGGAAAAAATAAAAAAAATACTTCCAGCGGCCCGTTTCAGACCAACAAGGGATACAACAAGATGTTCTTCAGCACATGGAGGCTTACAGAAGGATTTCGGAAAACGACTTGCCTTTTGGGGAAGCATCCATGTACGTCAGACAGGCCCGGCTTTCCCTTGGCCCGACTCTGGGGTACGCCAAACATAACAGCCGATGGCTCAAAAACAGGGGAACCCCAAGATGGGGTTCCCTGTGGTGGCTTAATTTTGACCGGTGCAAACCAAAGAACAACCCAAAAGGTCAACATTTGTTAAAAGAAGAAGGGGCACCGCTGGAAGTCTGGTGCTTGATACAGAAGTTCCTATCTGCCTACACCGCCCGTTGCAAAGCTCCAAATGGGATTTGCGGCTAATCCGGTCTAACGATTCAGCTCACAAGCAATCCACTCCTGAACACGATTCAGCTCACACACCTAAGCAGCCAAAACGATCACATACGTCCCATACGGCACTTCTCTCCCTGTTCTCCTGCCTGAGCCACAGCCTCCAGCTGCTTGCGCACGATCTCGTGGCTCGCGCCATGCACGGTGCAGCCTTGCGCAAAGCGCTCGTTGCCCTCCCGCAGCCGGTCCGCCGCTTGCCGCGGCAGCAGCGGCCCCACCGGCGCCGCGATCGCCGGAGCGATCGGAGCCCCCGGAGCTTCCGGGGCTCGCTTCGCGCGGTTCGCCGGAGCCAGGAAGGCGAAGCAGCAGGCCATGGGGTGAGGCACGGGCATTTCGGTCCCGGGGAAAATCTGGTGGGTTGACTGGGCTAGTGGAATTGGTGAGGCTCTGGTTTGAACAAGCACCAGTGAAATTGTTGACCATGAAAGCACAAAACAAGAACAATGGCGGAGAGAGAAAGAGAGAAACAGAGAGATAGATTCTTATGCCTGGCATTTGCCTGGGGTCATGAGCATGCATGGTTGCGAGTTTATGTTGTGAGGCAGTACAATGTCTCATTCAACAGTACGGAAAACAACTTGTGTATCAACTGAGTAGACATGGTCCGGTCGCTGGTCCAGTCACCAAGTTGGCAGTATCTCAGGCACGAGAAAGTGTCAAGCACAAGGCGTGAATCTTGAAGTGTCAAGCCTGATATGATATGCTTCAATGCCAGTTTTGTAGGGTGGTTCAACATGAGGAGCATGATTTGCTAACTATGTTGGATCACAGCTAGTGCCAAACGGTGCTGCAACGGAAGGAAACACCCACATCGAGGGCAACTTTGTATCAGCAAAGTTTTAGGCTAAATTATTTTAAAGACATGCTTAATGCCCAGGGTGGTGTCATGCCCTGGACAAATCGCCTCATGTTTTCGGCATCAGCATGGAGATGGCTGGCGGTGGCTGGCGGACAGACTCAGCTTTCATCTCCACACAGCTGTCGCATGACATTCAGTGCATCGAACTCCGCAGGAATCTTGTTCATGTTTCTATGCTTCTAGGACCAAGTTCACAGGGATGCTTCTTTCCAGAACACCAGCAAACAAAACATGGACAAGGCTGGTTGTTTGCAAACAACCATAGTTGAAAGGAATGCTCAATCCTCAATCCCTAGACCGCTGATCTAGAGTTTGTCATCCCATGTGTAACTCCATGTTCTCCTCAGACAAAACAAAACAAACACATGCGATGTGTCTTCCACAATTTCCCGGTCACCCTGCCAGCCAAGAAACGCTACCCAACTGTCATAAAGACAAGAAGACTAAACCGCAACTGTCCATTTCCGCTCGGCTTGACTCAATGGCCTAGCTGATATCCAGCTACTTAGTGGAGGATTCTCCAAGAGCTTCAAGTGGAGATGGAGACGCTAAATGCTAGGTGCAACAGTCCGTTTGGCATTGCTCGAAAAACCGGCCGCGAGTTTGCCCCGCAACACCTAAGAAAGGCAAAAGGGCAGGCGTCGAGATATGGGTCTGTTTCTTTTTGGGGGAACCTCAAAATGGGTGGGTTTTCCTGTTGGCGTTCCTTGAAAACCGCCAAAAAGGGCGGGGCACCTCTTACAACAAAAGACAAGCAAAAACATATCATTTGCAGCAATGGCCTCCGCCATCTATAGCACCGGAAATGTTCTTGGTTGCCGGCACTGTCATTGCTGAAACTCTTGGTTCGACCAACCCGTGAACACGAGGAGTCTTTCCTCCATTCTTTAGGCTACCGTTGATGGACAAATTCCATTTTGCACCACCTATAAATAAACCCCTGTAAGTATTGGCATAAAGCACCTGTTGACTGTTGCGTGTGTCTGTCCATCAACCATGCTGGGTGTGTCTTTTTTGAAGGGTACCGTTTTGGGGTTGGTTTAAAGGGAAACCAAAGACAAAACCACCCGTTTTGGGGGTCCCGGGCCCCCCATTTTGACACCAAACCTACTGGTTAGAACTTCGGGATCCCCTCGGAGACTCGGGATTGCTCTCTTTCGCAAGAGGACTGAGTACACCTCCACCTCTTTTGGTTCACTTTGAAGGAAACCTTACCACAAGCTGAAAACCCAGAATCGGTTGGCTGAGCCATGAGGTTCCGGCCCATTAGGCCGGATCTCTTTGGATTCCGCCGCTGGCAGCCGGAGAGGTGGTAGCCTGGAGGCTTCAGCCAACGTCCTCTTTAAGTCTTTGAAACCCATCCAAGGTGTCCTACTGTGGGACGAAATCCGTCACCAGGTGAAAGACTGATTTATCCCACTATTTACCTTGGTGGCTGCAACGACCCCCCTGCGAAAAGTGGTCAACTTTCGGGGGGTTTAGTGGAAAATCCAACTTGATTCCCTCAAGATCCAAGCCAATAGCGGTCAAGCTACCGGGTTCCATTCATCCCGACTGGTGGACCACAGAAGGGCTTCGTCTTGAGTTGATTCACGCACACGTGATTCGCGAAGGACCAGCAGCAAACTATGCATAGGGCCACAAAAGGGCCTGGGCCTTCCATAGATTACTTTCCTTTTGTTGTAGCTTGTTGTTTTTCTGCTCGAGCACACAGTTTGTGCCCGATTCTTCAATTTCTGCCCGAGCGATGAACAAATGCCCGATGTCTATATTTCAAATCAGCACTTCTCAAATTTCCGCTCGGTTGCGGGTTGCTGTGCGTGTTTTGCGGGCTGTTGCGGACATTTTGGCACACAATTTCTGCTCGAGCACTAGGACCTGACAGCCCGCATGCCTCCAAAAAAGGTCCAAAAACGAGGACAAGCCAAGAATAAAGGTACAAAATCCAAAGACCAGGCAGAAACTTCAGGTACGATGGAAGGTCCAGGGGGTGTTCAAACAGCTTTTGCCCAATGGGCTTGGTGATGGGAGTGGAAGCATATAAAAGTCAGACATACCTCACGGCAATATGATGAATAAACGTTCGAAGTTTGTCCAGACCTTTCGTTTCCCACTGATTAAGAATTCACTCAATACTAATCGACGTCCCGCTGACACCAGCAGCTGCAGTAGGTGGGATCTCTAAAACACGTGGTTGCACTTGCAACTTCAAACGTGCCTTTCAATTTCGAATCCACAGATGTGTACACGCCATGAGCGATTCCATTCCAACTCCCGCCCCGAGCCCTATCAACCAAAACACAAAAAAAAATGCCCAGGTGGAACAAATAGCATTTGGAAGGAGTGTACCATGGACAATATGACTCTCCACGCGTGGCGACTGTGTGACCAGAGCCTCCAACAGGCTTGCCTTCCCTCTCTGTGTTTGCTACTTGCCTTCGGGACCGGTTCGGTTGCCACATCTAGGTCCTCCAGTAGAGAGGATAGAATAAGGGTACCCTTTTTATGTAGTTCTTACCAGGGGAACCCTCCCCCAAAAAAGAAACGGTAAAAGGGCACTGAGGGACCTAGACATGGTCATCGAGTCATCGAACATTGCACACATGTGTTTGATGTGGGAATGCTTTGTCAGTTCTTGGCTCTGTGTGCCAAAGGACACCTGCACATCTCCGAAGCTCACCGTGGACCCCATGTCTGGTTTCATACCGCAGGCAAACAAGAATACTTGGCAAACAGGGACAAACTTAGGAATGATGGAAACTTGATGAGATGCCTCTCCTGCCAACTTCTGATGTGGGGGCGTGTTGCAGCTGAGTACTCATCCTCTTTGCTTGCCATGGTCTCCAAACATTCCGCAGCATGTGTGTTTGTGGGTTCCATGTCCATTTGCAAGAGTGAATGATGTCAACCTCTCTCCGAGGGTGTTTCTTAAAATTAGGAACCGTTTGCGTCAGTGAGAGGCAGGCATCGACAATCATCGACATCTTGGCCAACCCCCCATCCAGTGATCACACGGTTCGAAATATAAGTATCATAACCTTCCTGATCTGGACTATCCAAAAGCCATCATAAAACGCTAGGTCCAGTTGTGATGCCACAAGTGAAGACCAAGGGAATTCAACCTTGGGGGCCACAATACTAGTAGGTAAGCAAACTTTGCTGTTTGCAGCACCGCAAAGAGTGCAGAACTCAAGAGCCCCAAAAGAGCTGGAACACATGAGCCGAAAGCAGAGCTTCGCGAAAATACTCTGAGGAAGCCTATCAGGGTCCCAAGCAGCCCACAAATCAAAGTCAAATTCCCAAATTCCCAATTTACTCTGGATTTCACAAAGATCTGGATATGGTCAACCAAATCAAAGTTTATCAGATGCAAATCCCATTGCGCCGGTGCGCCGAGGGCTCGAAACCTCTCTGAAGTCTGGTTTCGGGGAGTCGGTGGGGGGTGGCACCTGGTGGTTCCCCTGACACCATCGCCACGTTTGAAGGTCCCAAAATTTGCTGGTGCGATAACTAGGGAATGAGAATTGGAATGACCCCCATGAACCATCCCCTATGGCTTCCTTTAAGGGAATCCCTGGGTTCATTCCCTCATTCTCCACTTATAGCACCCAGCCAGAAGAAGGGAAATGAGTCAACCCGGTATTTAAATGGTCTACCCGGAACCATGCTTCAAGAATTAAGAAGGCGGATATCCGCAGCTATTTATGGCCGGGTGTATCCCTTCCTAACCTCCATCTACCCGGGTTTGGGTTGTGGCTCAAATGGCTCGGAAACCCGAAAGCCGAAGCCCCAGCCTTGGACCGGAAGCTTTGTCCGGCGAGTCCTCAGAGGTTCATAGGCTACGCCACGCGTTCGCAGTGGGTGGGGTAACATACACCCGGACATGGGTTGAACCAAGCCCAAACACGCCGAAACGGCCGTGTGGGGGTTTCTCAAAGGTAGTCCCCCAAAACATGATTGGTTCATGTTGGTTTATTTTGGGACAACCAACCCAGACGGGTCGACCATGTTGAGAAACTCCCATTTGCCAGGGTGTGTTGCTGCGTTTTCTATCGAACATCGCTGCGAGAGACCGGACATTCCGCTCGGAAGTACGCCAAAAGAAGGTTGCTCAGTCTCTGGTGGCTAAAGCATGTTACAAATAGCTGGTTGCCAGGCCAAACACTTGTAACCGTCAAAGTCACAAACTCTCAGAGAAGACCTCGGGGGAGTCCAGTCGAGGTCGCACCAACATGAATTTCAGCTTACAGCCGGGAACACGACCGCGGCTTGCAGCTTGGAACAAGACTGCAACTTGGAGCTGCATGCTTTGCCAAATCCTAAAATTGCCTGCTGATGCGTGGTCTTGCGGTCTTGAAAGCTGTACAAACCTACATGGTTTCCCGTAAACAGGACACCAACTCATGAAGAACGGTACGATAGCGCTCTTGCCAGCCGTACCACCTGGCATGCGAA